CCCAAAATGATAAACTTGATTTCAGAACCATTTCCAGAAAAGAAATTAGTTTAGAAAGAGATGCAAAGTCTTAGGCCAGCTCCTGTTTTGGTTTCCATGGGTGCATCTTTCATGGACAGTCAAATCTAGCTCGGCACCTTGTTTCGTCACCGTGGTGTTAACAGCAGGTCCTAATAAGAAAGCAACATCCGTTACAAAATGTACAGGTTTTGCTCTTTGCCCAACTATAGGCACAAAAACAAAAGAAATCATGTCATATCTGTGGGCCCATTCATCCCCAATAATTACCTTAGATCCTAGTGTGTCAGTACAATTAAGGACATAGAGCATCATTGTTTTTCAGACCAGAGGCAGATATGCCGCCTATTTTGCATTTGGGAGATAAGTGCTACCTTTCAAAGGGCCCTATTTAGTTGAGAATAAAACCAGCTTCTGTGTTGCCTGAACCCAGAGAAAGACCACAAAAACCCTAATCCTACTTGCCTTGCTCCCTTAAACCACCCTTTGTTTGTACTGGTTTCTTTAAGGGAGCTTTGGCTTGTCAGGTAAGCAGGATTTGGTCTTAAAATCAAGGAACGAAGCGTTGGCTTGCTTTTCCTCAAGTCAAATGTAAAATGTGACTGCTTTCAATTGTATTGCAATCGCAGTGAGACTAAAAATACGACGCTGAAAACAAGACACCCACAGATATCTCCCCATCTAATTCCCCATCTTTCCTGAAGAGCTCTTAGCCTCTTGTGTTCTCTTAAAAACGTGGTTTTTAAATAGAACATTCAACAGACAAATATGCTAAAGCAATTAAAAATGAATAATTTGTGCTTATTAATCAAGCAAAAATTGCTAGCACTCGCATGAAAGCATACAAAACCCTAAAATAGGGGTTGTGCTCTGTCTCTTTATGGAAACCAGGAATCCACTGTTCCTTTAGGACAGAATAACTGCTGTAGAGCAGCGCCCTGGCAGGCCAGGGTGTGTGAAATGCAACGCATTGTCATCCAGAAATGCCGCGGGTGTGACAGTCTGGGTCTCATTTACACTGAGGCTATGAAAAGAGTTCAGTCTTCACCAAAGGTCTGTTGTCTTCGGTGCACGGCAAAGAAAAGGGGCAAATGGCGGGTGGAGATAGCAACTAACAGTGACTGGACAAGAAGGGACCAAGGACATAAATGATGTCTTTACGTTTAAGCTTCTGAATATAGCAGCTTCAGCAGCAAGCAGAAACCAGCTCAGGGGCTACCTGGTCTGCTGTAGTGTCAGTGTTTCTACTCTTCCCTTCACTGCCTCCTAAAGCATGACAGGGTTCAGCCTTTGCCAGAGTCCCCAAACCCTCCTCTGGTGAGCAGATACCTCACGCTGCTGGGATGCATGCACCATCCCAGTCCAACCTATCTCTTTCCCACGGCATTAATAACGACCCGTACAATGATCCCCTGGGCCATGATCATAGCAGCAGCAATGGTAACTCAGCCCCTCCGCTCCCCTTCTGCTGCTCTGCTGAAACCCCAGGCATGCCGTACTGGGGTGGGATGTGCAACTGTTGCATGGATCATCCCTGTCACGCCTCATCCCCAACTGCAGGCAGCAGGATGCAGTCCCTGCACTCCGCCTGCCCCATCTCAGGGCAGGGAAGAGCATCCAGTTGCTTGACTGTATTTGGGAGAGCAAATCTGCTTTGAGAGAGGCATCTTGGCATTGAAGGGAAATGGGTAGGGGGGTCTTGCTGCCCCATCCTCCAGACCTAGAACTTCCTAGACCTTAAATGCTGGAGGCTGCAAGCGAGAAAGGGATGGTAGAAAAAACCCTGGTCAGACCCAGCCCATGGGAAGTGCAGAGTCCATTCTCCACCCCCATTTTTTACGTGCCAGTGTGAGCCGGGTGAATTAAGTGCATTGTTTTCAATGTGTGTTAAATGAATGCAGGTCAGGCTCCCTCCCGCTCTTCCCAGCTTCAGTTTAAGCAGTCTGGGTTCACCGGCCAGCTTTGTAGGGAGCTCAGACTGGAAAGCCATGCATGCCAATTCATGAAATCTTCAGCTTGGTTTCAGTTTGTGAATCCATTGGGAATTCATAAAATTAAAAAAAAAAAAAAAAAGATTTTTCAAATAAAGGGGAAGAGGAAATAAAGGCAAGGGGAATGCAGTCTGCAGGCTGGTAGTGAGCACAGAAAAAGAGGCTGAATTCTTGAAATAAATTCTTGCTCACTTCTCTGTAATTCTCACTCCCTTTTGCATGTTTGCTTCAGCCTCATGATGTCCTGCCACCCAATCCCTTTTATTAATTGAAGCAGTAGTCAGCTGTTTTTAACTATAAATCCATAACTTGGCCCTCTGGAGCTCACCTCACCTATACTTTGTCAATGATAAGAGTTATTTAGACGGGACAGTTCCCAAGGATTGACGATTCCTAAGGTGGTCATCTTCTCCCCACACCATCTTGCTGCTACATATTTTATCCAATGCCTCTTTAATGCAAAATGCATGAGCAGTCTGTGGGCCTCAGGACCAGTCCCAGCTCCCCCCATTGTAGAGGGAGTGCTCTAGCCACTAGGATAACATGCAAAAGACCACCTCTACCTACTCTTCCTGCCATGTTTTTTAATATAGGTAGGTGCAAATGATGCGCTTTATGCTCAGTTTGAAGCAGTCGTTGTTTCTGGCATGTTCTGAGTTGCCCGTGCCTACCACCCTGGGCCCTCCAGGGGATTGGATACACAGTGGTACCTAGCTGCTAGTCCCAACCAGTCTTGGACATGATACAGGGAGAGGGACCAGTCCAGGGTAGACACGATGATGAGATTTCTTCCAGAGCTCCAAAAGATAAGAGAAACAGATAAGTTGAAACCTGTTCCCTGTTTCCTCCAAACGGTGGTGAAGACTACAGTTTTCAGGTTCACTCAGGCTCTAAATAAGAGGCCAGGACTTGGCTCTTAACAATCAAAGTGACCAGAAGCCTTAACTGCTGGTTGACTTGGTGGGCAGTTTGGCCTCATTGTCATAAACCTGCCTCGTACGTGCCCCAAAATCACTCCCAAATTGGTTGTGATTTGGCCTGGATTTATTTTTTTCCCAGGAGAAGGCTGCAATGGGACACACTAGTTAGTGTTGCATTATATTTGGTGGAGCTGACTGAACCCATGCAGACCCTAGGGGTAGATGGATGGAGGCCGAATTGAGACCACGGCTGTCCAGTGTCCAACAAAAGTCCTTCAAGCTGCCTTGTGTGTGTATCTGAACAGCCACAGGGTAGGGCCTGCTGCTGTATTAGCAAGCTTTCCTCTCTTTTCCCCCGTCCTTCCGCTTTAACTGGTGTCTTCCCACAAAAATAGAAAACAAGGGAGGTTGCACAAGGACCCAGACATCAGTGAAGTCTGAAATGCATTTCTCCTCTGGGTCACTGCAGTGTCTGCATCTGTAGCCATAGCAGTGGATACGACTAGCTGCAAAATCTGTCAGCTTCCCACAGGGCTTGCCAAGCTGCATGCTTCTCCTGGATGTGATTTTTTTTTTTCCCTTGGCCTCGGTACCATTTTTGAGGAGTCGTCTCTCTTTGACACACCGGTCACATGAGAGCGCCCTGTTTGGGAACATAATAGATGAAGTTGTTTAGGGAGATGTTGCATTAGGACCCAAGGTCCAATAATCTCCTGTCAGAACCACTTCCTTTCCCCAGAGATTGATGCAAACTGCCCTTGGCAGTGATGTGCTGTGCACCATTGCACATGGATTAAGCCATAGTGTGTGCCCATATTCTTGTTCACCGTATGAATCAGGAAGGACTTCTTGAGCAGTGTTCCCTAAACACATGTCACTTTATGCTGTGATGGTATAAGGAATGGTTCTGGGGAGAGGACCCCTCTGCTAGCTGACAAATAATGACCAGGCCATTTCTGGAAATGAATGAATAGATGTGTTTAAACTTTTAGAAGCAAAAAAAAGAAGAAAAAAAACAGCCCGGTATTTTTTTAAACCTAGGTTCTGTCTTATTGACTCTGTTCAGCTGTGCGATGATTCAATGTGTATGTGTGTGTGTCTGTACATTGAGAGATGCATCCAACTTTTACTCTTTAGCGAGTGTTTGCTAGGGTATTGTTACTATGCTCTGATCATTTCCATAATACTACAAGAATCCCAAAAAAGAAAAATGAGAAACCCACTTTGTATGAACCAGAAGCCAAACTCTTCTTCACCTAGAAAACACAAGCAAAAATGGGAAGGACTTTTGGCAATAGACTGTCCAGATAAATATGCCAGATTCCTTGCAAACACAATTATTAGAACTAGTCACGCTGCTGTACTCAGGTGATTAAAAGCTGCTCTTAAATGTTGATAAGAACTATAGTATCAGCGCAGTCGCTATATGTGATCGGCGGTATATGCGTGCATGTTTAGAAGGAAAGGCTATTTTCTTAGATTTTCTGCTTTGCTGATATTGTAAACTATATGACAGATGGGTCAAGTCCTGATTGCCGCATTCTAACATTTGGAATAGCAAGTAACATATTTGATAGAGCTGGCAAGTTCTTATATATGATTCAACCCAGAATATAAAAGCCACTAGAATTCCAAGTCAAAAATAATTAAATGAGCTGGAAACAATCAGGAACCACACATTTTTAAGTGACAGATTTTTTTACATGTTTAAATTGCACAAAGAATGCAAGAATATCTTATAGCTCCCTTTCACCAACAGTGGTGTTTAAGTCTAAAATCTGTAACTGGTATTTGCAAAGCAATTAATTCCTGTGTTGTTATGTTAGTATGAAATCTTAAAGCAGGCATGGGAACCCTAGCTTTAGGTAACAGCTCTTTCCTTTGGTGGAGGGGGGGCGGGACTCAGGCAATGATAGTATATCACATTTCTCCAACACAAGAGTTAACTAAATGATTATACTAAACTCTTCCTTTAGCACTTGGCTACATGAAATACAATTAGCATCCACTTTGAATTTTAAGTGTTCTGGTTGCAAAGTGCAGTACATTAGGATCTGCAGACTTCCCAAATATTTGTTGTTAAATGGTGTCATAATTGTGTAATCCTTTCAGTCCCAATAAGCCAAAAACAGCAGCTTATTCCATTGGTATTTTATCATTTTTGCTTATGTTTCTTTCAAAGTTTCCATCTTTGTCTCACTGTGTGTAAAGTCACGTGTCTCTTTACTTTTGGTGTCTCTCTCCATCACTTGCAAACAGCTCGTCCATCCAAGCCTAAGCCACCGGCTGGGCCACCACCCTCCACTCAAATGCAGCCTAACATGATAAATCAGATGCGCAAAGGCATGCCTAGACAAACACCAAGTACTGTAATAGTCTTCCTTTCTTCTATTTAACAGTGTTCTAGCTTAGCAGTTTCTCGCTACTCTAGTTTAGCTTAATATTAGAAAGCTATTTCTAACGCGAGGCTTTTGCAACTATCTGTAGGCTTTTAGAAATTTAGAGATAGCATTTATTTCAAAATGTCCACATTTTTTTTGTCTAGCAATGTCTGACATATGCAACATTTTCAAATATCAACGTCAGCACAAAATAACATTGTTGTTGCATAACATTTTGCATGATAACTATAAATATGTATGAGCTTTAAACGATGGTGTATGAAATGTTTGATAAGTATATCGTATACGTTTCATTTAACTGTCAGTGCTCCAGCTATTTCAACAGAATATTCTGATGTATAGTAACTTACCCAGGGAAATATTTAAAATAAGAAAAAAAAAATTAAGATTGACATCTGCTGGCTGCCAAAGTTGTATAAGCATCAATATTTTCTTTAAAGACAGCATCTCCGAGCAGTTGTTCTTATTAACACTTTTGTCTTTTAGTTGTGTTGGAGAGCAGATCACTGCCACGAGTGAGTGTAGGCCTCATCCTGCTCCCCTTGAAAGCAATGGCAACACTCCCAGTCACGTCTGTGACGTAGAATCGGGGGCAACGTGTTCTGGAAAGTTTTTAGCAGCCTGTTGTTGCACAAAAGAAAGAAGAGGCAGTTCTCAGCTTCTGTTGAGGAGCTTGAGTGAATGATGGAAAGGAAGAGGAGTTAATAACTGGCCCTCTGTTTGGTATTCACTTAAGACAAATTTTGAAAGAGAAGGCAGGAGGATGTGGGAGGGACAATGCCCATATTGATGGGCCAAACCAACAAAACATTTAATGCAGTTGCACAAGCGCTTTGGCATGTCAATGGAAGCAAAGGGATTAAGCGCCTGCATCTCCCCTGATCCTGTTGGATACAGAGATACTCAACGCTGCCAAAAAACGGGCCGCAGACCCATGCCCAGGTGCCTAGACGTGGATGTAGTACCCTGAGTTTAAGCTACCGATTTTGAAAATCTCAGCTACGACTTAACAGAAAGCTCAGCAACTTTCGGGATGTAATCAAAGACGGGTCTCATAGGGATGATTTCAAGAGAGCAGTGAAAACCTGACCCTATTGAAGCAATGTCACAACTGTCATTGCTTTCAACGGGGCTGGGGTTTCAGCCATCGTTGTTTGTACAGCCTGATTCAACATAGCATTTGAGTATGTGCTTAGCTTTAAGCCCAAGCTCAATCAAAGAAGTGGGGCTGCAGCACAAGCTAACCGTTCAATCTGTAGTCAGGGTTAAATTTTCAATAGGGCCTGAAGAAGCCAGGTGCCCAGCTGCTACTGAATTTCAATGGAAGTTAACCTACCTGCTGGCTCAGGGAAGACTTACTTGTCTTCCAGCTCTACAAAGCCATGTCAATAACCCTAATTTTTAATATTTGCTTAAGTTTTAAATCATTTGCCTTCAGTTACCCTGGTGGGCACTGACAAAGCATGCATGGTTGGCACTTTTCCCTTGGTTTTTCCATAACTGTGCTCAAATCCAGTATCATTTTGCCTTATAGCTTAGACCCCTGAGCTGCTCCTCCAGGCTGCGGCAGTCCGGAAGAGCGACCCAAGAGGGTTGGTTTCTAAGGACCCGTGTCACCATTGTACTTGGCCAGCTCCCGGCATCTTTCAGCCCATATCAGAATCTTATTTAAAGTGTGCCATTCTTCCTATATTTATTTATGTGCTTTCTAATGAAATAAGCCATCTGTGCCAATTTATTACTCTATATAGCTTTTAAAATATGGATGCATAACAGCAGTGCAAGATGCCCTGATGTATTTATCTTTTTTTTTTTTGTATTCTTTTTGGAAAGCTTAGTGAAAGCTGCAAGGTAGGATGAAATAACTCCCCATTTTCTTCACTTGCCTGCAGTATTTCAACTCTTTCACAGGGCAGGAGAGAATTCTGCTTTAAAGTCATGTCTGTTTTCCCATAAAATCATGCTTATAAATACATGGACAGATTTGTTATTCTGTTGTTTCTGGTTCACTCTAGCACAACTCCCTTACTTTCAATGGTCTTACATCCACAAGTAGCACAGTGATACATGAAGCCCAAAATTTTAATTTTTATAGAGTGCAGCTCCCCACTTTAATGGCTTCTACCAAATTGACTTCTTTTTAATGCCAGCATCCTCCTGTATATCTCTGAAATGAAAAAAATCTTTCCAACCAGTAAAATCTTGAAGTGCATCCCTGCATCACATTGGCATTAATGCCTCCCTGTTACATTCAGCAGCTTATTTTAAAAGATACCTTCAAACAGAACTTGGGCAATGACATTTATCCATCAGATAAATAATAGCACAGTCTAAACAGAGGCATGGATATTGCCATATAATAATAAGTAGATGCTGTCTCTAGGGAATTTAACACGAGCAATTTAATGAATAAATAAAGCGTTACCATTGCAAATGGAAAGTAAAACAATTTGTACAGTGTTTTGAAAATTTGGAGCTGGAGCACTGCATTTTCAGAGTATAATAACGAATGTGGCTTTATGGTTTGCTCAGTACTAATGACTAGCATTTAACACTTGCATGAAAAGACTTTTAAAGTTACTAAATATGACGGGATTTTATTGACCACTAAATCTGTTGGCCGTACAGCTAGCCTATCCGCCTGCACTCCATTTTAACTCAAGTTCTTGTACTACAGAAAATGTAGGCCGGTTAGTCACACCTGCCAAAAAGCTAGAAGACACAATCCGTCTGGCAGAGCTGGTAATTGAAGTCCTACAGCAGAATGAAGAACACCATGCAGAGGTGAGCACCGTGCTCTGCATTGTTATATTCCCATAGTCTGAACAGGAGCTGGTTGGTTTTAATAGCTGGGTCCATTCCCGTCGCGGTTGCTGAACGAGGTGCTTTCTATCACTGTTCAAGCTGTCCGGCCGGATTCAAGGACAGTCTTCAAATGTAATTAAAGGGGAATAAAACCAACTGTTTTGAGAGGGCTTTTTAAAGCCAAAGTGGGTTGGATTCTGCTCTCGTTTACAGCGACGTGCATTCTTCCACGAGTGTCGGTGACAGCCAAACATGGCTAAATGTCTTGATCACCAAAATAATCACACCCTAACACCTGTCCCCTTTTGAGAAGGGCCACATATTTCAAAGCCTTAGGGTTGTACATCCAGCCATCACCACTTGAGTCTGTTTTCGGCCAGCAGTTGCCGAAGCAGCATTCGGTTTTTTGCCCTTCACGGCTGCGGCTGAGAAAGCCATTGGAAATGTCCAGAATTCTTTTTCTTGGGTTTGTTTCTTCATTTTAAAATAGTTTTTAATGTGTTTTGTTTTTTTACTTGGCATTGCTAGACGTGGTAATGTTTTAAAAGGCTGTTTTCACGCTGGCTTTTCTGTCGGCCGCCCCTTGCTCAGCTTGTTCAGGTTTTCTCTGTTGATATTTGCTGAGGCTGCAGTGACTCATTCGGCGTTCCCGATCGTATAGGCTGCACAACACTTCCCAGAATGAACATGGCTCTGCCCTTCAAAATGTCCTCACAGGGAGACTCTAGTTGCAGTAGCACTTTTAAACAGGGGAAATCCAGCTATCACAAAAGCCAGTGTATGTGAGGACCTCAGGAGCAGAAGGCTTGACCCTGTACAGGATTAAGCTCATGAGCGCACCCACGGATGTGGTCCCACTGACATGACGCCACGAGATCTGGATCTCAGTGGAGCTACTCGAGCGAGTGCAGTTGCTTACGGGCACGCGAGTGTTTAGGATCAGCAGTCACCTCTTACAAGTCCAACTCACTGTGATAATTTCTTTTTTTAAGTTAATCATTTTCAAATTAAGATTTACCACTTAAGTGTTTATAACTTGTTACATTCATTCACTATTTTCTCTTTTCCTTCCCTTTTTTATATATATATAATATATATATACATATTTATATATTGCATTTAATACATTTGATAAGTAATTTCACAATCACCTAAAATCATTCCACTGTATATTAAATTTACAGTACAATTTAACTTATTTCTAATACACGACAATCCAGAAGTCCCAACTAACTCCTGACTGCATATTTAAATTTCCTCCCTGTTTTTCTACTGTTCATTCAATCTTGGATGATCCTGGCAGGGGAAAGAGGTATGTGACTAAACTGAATGAAATGAGTCACTTCCTGTCATATTTCGTGCATGCCCTCTTAGTGCCATGTTTCCTAATGGGATTTTACCTGGGTGATCCTTGCTTTGTAACTTTAATCCGAGGAATGTAACAGCAACTCCACATGGACTGCTTGTGGAATTGGTAGCCCAACACGGCAGGGGAAATGCGGGATACGTATCCAGTCCATGCATGTAGCAATGGGTCTATTTTACAAGCGCTGCAGTTACATCCCAACACAACCCTACCTGCCTGGAATCTTTCCTCAGCCTGTTGTAAAACCTATGTTGTTTTGTAGTTTCCTGATCTCTAGTACACCATGGAGTAGACTATATAATAAACGATTGAGTAGAAGGATGCTAGTCTTCCTCTAACTTTGTCTGTATATGTATTGTACTGGATATACAGTATTTATATATAGAGAGAGACTATAGCCCGGAGAAGAGAGAAATAATCTTTATTTTCACAGAGTTGAGATGCTCCCAGTGTAACTCAGACTGCTGCAAAGATGTCTATGAATTGTGGCAGGGCTGTCTAAGAGGAACGAATACTTTATTGCACTCATCACCTTCATGTGATGCATGGAAAGGAATTATTTTTAAGAACCAGGTTATTTTCATACTGGCAACTTCGGGGTGCAAGAGGGCCTAATATGGGCTTCTCTTCACTGAAAACACCCTTAAAAGAATGGAAATAAAACACACGCTTTGTAGCTTGGGCATCAGAAGGGTTTTGTTAGTGAGAGCAGATTTGCACCTATTTTATTACCAGGATCACGTTTTTCCTGTGCTCCCATTTCAGAAGGGTGACATTTCATTTATCCTATTGCAGAAGTCCAACACAAGTCCTTATACCACTTGATTTATGCCTGCAGGGTATAAATGGGATGCTAGTGGCGCCCCTTCTGCACAGGTGTGAATTTCACCCAAACAATAGGTTGCAAGTTGTTTAATCATGTGAGTTTTGTGGTGCATGCACAAACACGGCCCCACAATTTTCCTTGTGGTCATGCAGTATCTGGTTGGGCTATTATAGGAATTTTCAAAATGACTGCATTTTATTCAAAGGAGGCAGCTTCCAGGATGTTTTTTGCTGGGAGGTTGTCTGCCAAACATGTTACAAATGGTTACCTCTTACAGTGTCAGCATAACTTCTTCACCATAAATATCTTCATGGTAGCATTTAGGGAGTGCTAGACTTTCTGCTTACCTCCAAGTAACTGAAGTCTACCCTTTTGAATTAATTACTCCAGGCAGGGTTTTAAAGGAGTTTTCTGTATACCTGGACTGGATAGGTATGACCTGAATATCTCCTTTGGCTATCCACAAAGAAAATAAAGTTGAATTTCTTCTTGTAGAAAGGCTGCAACCGTTACCATTTGCCTATTAAGATGAGCCCATTCCACTGTTGTATGCACATACATGCAACACACATTCAAACCCCATCAGGTAAACCTAAACTGAAACCACCTTTACGATTTGGAAAAAAAGTTTAAAGAGCATTAGCATGGAGAAATCTTTTGTTTTTATTATGCGAGAGGCAAGGATTTCTTAGGGTGATATCTTTTATTGGACCAGCTGCCTAGGTGCATAGTGTTAGACGAGCTTTCACGTAGCCCAGACAAACATGCAGAAGAAACTGGCCTTCTATAATGGGTGTGCCTATGTAATACATAACAGCTTGAGTCTTTGCCAAAGTGTCATTTGTCTCATCAGGTGGCTCCAAATTGGATTATCTTTCACCTGGATGAGTCATGATAAATGCCATAAGACTTCATGCATTTTTAATCTTTGCCTTCTCTCTCTATGTATATGTATGTGTATATATATATATGTGTGTGTGCGTGCAACTCTATTGAAGACGCACATATATATATGTGTACCCGTGTGTAAAATACGCAGTGATAGGTGTGTTTGTCCAGAAGGCAAACTTCATTTTCCTTCGATCATGTTGAAATCAAAGCAGGTAAGTAGATGGTAAATAAAATTAAACTTTACCATCTGGAAAAAAAATTGGAGTAATGAACTGCTATTGTTCTTATTTCAAGAAATGACTGCCTTACTGCAAATGGGAGAGGGAATTCTCGTGAGTCGGAGGCTAATCCATCAGAAATATATGTGACTGTTTTTTACAAAGTAATCGTATGCTTTGCCTGTTAATTTCTTTAAGGAAAAAAAAACCACAAACATTTTTTCTTTTTCATGGAAGCAGGTTTTTATTGCAGGACTCTGAAGTAATTATGTTGGGATTTGTTGGAGAATACATTCTTTCACTCCTGCCAAAAATGTTGATTTTTGCCCATCCTTCATATATAGAGTTACCAGCAGGATTCTCAGCTGCCAGATACACCCAATAATCACTTGACAAGGAGACGGTGTGGCAGACTCTTGAGAAATGAAGGCATGGCCAGAAGAAATGAGTCAATGCAAGAACCAGCTCTTTCATCCTTGTTCAACAAAATAAAAAATATATATATCTTTTAAAGGGATATTGTCAACTACCATAACCTTGATTTTTTTTTTCTATTTTAATTTTTGTTACATCTTTGGGAGGAAAAATTGAGCAGACACTGAAAGCAGAATGGGTTCCTGCCACCTTCCCTTCAGATGGTCTAGCTGTTCAAAAAAAATAAAAATCAGAACGATGCCCAACCCATCATATTGGCGAGATTGCATCAAAGCAGCATTTTCATGTTCCTCATCTTGTGCTTATTTTTTAACGTAGCTGCCCAGTCGGGATGAGCCACTGAACAGCTGTGTGGAGCCACTTCACATTGGCAGCAGCTTTAAAAGAGCTTCTCAGCAAATGCCTCGCTAAAAGTCTAGGGCCAACATTAAATCTGACCCTGAGTTGGCGGCTGGAGTAACCAGGGTGGCGTGAGCTGGCCGACAGCTCCAAGCACCAGTTTAGAGGGACCAGCACACTCCACACCCTTGCTCTCTGGCACCCTGACGTTCGACCGTGTCTCTGCCCAGGGCACCGAACGTGGTGGCTGCCCCTCCGGGAGCCTACCTGTGTCCAAGCGAGCAGCTTTTTGGGGAGGTGACAGCACAGTTGGACTTGTGTGCATGTGCTGGGCTAGACATTTGTTTCCGAACTAAGCAGCAACACACTTCAATATCATCCCTGGACCAAGTCAGGAGGTAGTGCAACTGCACCCTAAATCAGGACCCTCACCAGCATTGCAATAGCAGTGGCTGCATGAGGGCCCACTCCTCACCGCCCATCCCTTCCCGCTCACTAGAGCAAGAGGGGAAGAAAACTGCTCTGCAAGGAGTGCATTCCCTTAGGCCAGCACATGGATCAGGAGAGAGTTATAGGCCAGGGCAGGGTTGATATAGCGTTCTTTATTTTTTAAATATAATTACAGACCACCTTCATGCTACACACACACACATGCATACCGCACCCCTGCCACACAGGTAAATCCTTTATGCATGCATACCTGGCAGCTGGGTATGAGGGAGATAGACCTGGAAAGCCCGAAAGAGATTGTGCCACAGCCAGGCACACTGCTTTGGAGTGTGATAGTCTGGTGACAAAGCAGCCCCCGTCCCTCTAATGGGGGTTGTTGTTAATTTTCTGCAACCTTCTCAAAAGGAAAAGTGAAGAGAATTAGCGCTGCTCTCATTGATTGCCAAGCAAATAAAGATGAAGTCCATTCTGCCTGATCATGTCTGCCAGTATCTTCTTTTCATCCTTTCAAGTGACTGAAGTATACCTTCCTGATTGCCAAGTTGTCTTTCAATTCTCAGTCATCTTTATTCCATCTTTTGAGTCTGGTGCCTATGGTGTAGGTTTCCTTTGCTCGGAAAGTCCTGGATAGTGCCTGGTAGAGAAAGTTGTTAAATCTCAGAGTAGTTTCCTCTCACCCCCAAATTACTGCACACGGTCCTGTTGACAACACTGCTCATTCTGCATGTTCCCAGCCAGAAATGATTACTAAACACGCATGCATGCATTTGAAACACATTCACATCTAAGCCATGTGTGATGTGAATGTACTTCAGAAAACCTGTACAGTGGACTTTAAGGACCCATGTGCATGAGAATGAGTTACTTCACTGATATTTTTTGGTTTTCACGTGTTATATGTAATACTCCAGCAAATGGAAAAATCCTGGTAAAATCCTGGCTTGATTTGGAGGCTTTTATCCTGATCTCCTGCCAGGTCTATATAACAGCTCTAAAACTGATTTCATAGTAAGTGGCCCTAAATTATACTAATGTATTTAAATAGCTTTATATGTAACCCTGTAAAATGAAAGGAGCTGTCTTAATTTTTACTGGTGGTGCTTGAAATATTTCTAACTGAGATCCGGAGACATGGTAGGACAGACTCTGCATTCATAGGCTTCTAAGCATTTTCAAGATGAGTGGTAATAGCAAGCCCAAATAAATTTTGAAAGCTGTTGAAAAAACATAGCAGAAAACCCACAAACACAGTGAAGAAACTCCCAAATTCCTATACTTTAGAATAAGAACTGGTAGACCTCTCTGGTACATAGCATGATTAAAGATGAATTTAGTGAGTTATTGTAAACTGAACAGACACCCCTTCTTTGCTTTGTTTCAACTGCTTACTCTACAGTGCAGTTCGGAAAAATATACACGACAAGGCATTCCTGAATATAAAGAGTAGGTGCATCATTTATGTGATTTGCACTGTATATGCAGTAGCTCACATTTTAAAGGACTGTTCTCTTTACAATAAAGTTAGTTTTCCCTTGGGATGCACATTTGCTTCTAAGCTATATGGCCTCATATCATTTGCTGTGGTTTAAAAGAACTAATGCTTTTCTTTGTTATTTCTTTTTCTACCAAATTTAAAGGCCTTTGCTTGGTGGTCAGACTTAATGGTTGAACATGCGGAAACCTTCCTGTCACTGTTTGCAGTGGATATGGATGCTGCCTTAGAGGTGCAACCCCCAGACACGTGGGACAGCTTTCCACTATTTCAGCTTCTAAATGATTTCCTCCGTAGTGACTGTATGTATTTGTATTTTGACCATTTCTTTCAATAGGGTAAAATGTTCTGGGTTATTAATAATGTTTCTAGCCTTTCCATGCTGTACAGAAAACTGATATGGGTGGGACTTCAAAACCAATAGCCTTTTATTAGCTTAATATTGCAATTGCTTTAGAGGGGGGCGGGGAAGTGGTGCTTTTCAACATGGCCAGAGACCAATCCTCTTTACTAAAAATAAATGCCCAGGTAGAAGACCAGGAGTGGGACTTCTATAAGGTCCTGTGGTGAGGAGCACATTGTTCACAGAGTTGGGCACTTTCTGTTATTTTCATTAAGCATTTCTATTGTGCTATATATGTGCATCATATACGTGTGGCAATACGAAGTCAACTGCAGTCCCTGCCCCCAGACAGGTGGATGGAAAGGAAAGGAATCGTTAATGAATGATTTGACATTGCCTTGTACAAAGGGGAAGCGCAGGAGAATATTGCCAGGGTTAGAAGGCGCGGCAATGAAATTCCCATTCACTTCAATAGCAGCAGTGTTTGGCCCTGCTGAGTCTGTGACAATCCCACGTCGTAGTCTGCCTGTCTCATCCTTCCCACGTTGGTCCATTAGGCCCCTGTCTTACAAAAGACTTCCCTGTTGGAAAACCCTTTTAGTTTCTGAAGACATGCATAATGAGTCATGGGACCCCTCCTCCGAGAAAAACGATTTCGAGTGTAAAAGTAGTCCCCCAGTCTGCCCAGGGAGTGACGTGTGCCAAGCTGTTTCGTTTATAGTCATTTTATTAACGGGAGCTAGTCATCTATTTCCTGTCTATAAATCAGGCACTAACGGAGAAGTTTCGCTGTTTGTTTGCTCCAAATATGAAACGATTTCTGCTGTCTTTATCCTGGATGTTGATGGTCAAGTATTCCTAGGGGAAACTCCAGTTACTTCCTTCCTGTTAGCCAGCATATTTATTATGTAATAAAATGCCACTCTTCATGGTTCGTTACCCAACCGTAGTTTCTTACTATACTTTTATTTATCTATTCTAGATAATTTGTGCAATGGAAAATTCCACAAACACCTTCAAGACCTGTTTGCTCCACTTGTTGTTAGATATGTCGATCTGATGGAGTCCTCAATTGCACAATCAATTCACAGGGGCTTTGAGCGGGAATCATGGGAGCCAGTAAAGTAAGGAAACCTCCTTTGATACAATCGGAATTTGGGTGCAAATGGATGGAGATTCGTACAGAGATGAATTAGTAAATACTAGATTGGAGATTTGGAAAATGCCTTCTATTTTTTAGCGCCGTGCTAAAAATGCAAGGCCTAATTTCTTAAGGGTTTTCAAGGTTTACAAAAGAAACAATATGTGCTTTTCTAATGCAATGCTGATTGAAGTGGAACGTTTTGCTTTGAAAAATGGAATTACGAAAAATGTGAAATCCTCTCATTTTGCTTGGCTTTTTAGATCTTATGACCCTGCTCTAAAAGGCCTTTTTCCAATGTTGCTCTTAAAGGCAAATAGCTTCTTTTCAGAACGAAAACCTTGCTTTACTGTGTTCAGTCCGGCTCTGTACCTTGGGTGGGCCGCTGTTGTCTTTTTTTTCCACACACCCTGTGAAGCGATAGTGCAGAGATATGCTTCACTGCTTCAGCACCACAGCTGATCCCTGGATTGATCTTTTTTTTCGCGCAGGCTGTGAAGGGCTCCAGCGTAAGATGCTGCTTTAGAGCTAAGGGCTTTTAGGAGGAGACACTCTGAAACCATGCTGGAAAGATCCTGAAGGCACCGTCCCTGAAGGGAAACACAGTGTGCTAGAGAAAAGTACTTCCAAGCAAAAACAAGTAGAGAAAGCAGGAGAAAAGAGTTGACCGCAGTCATTTACTAATCTCATAGAAGTGATGATTTAAAACTCTGGAATGGGTGAACTGAGAGACAAAGCCCCAGCTCAGCCTAGCGGTTGTGAAATATAAAGTTAGTTAAAGCCATGCAGAATTTATAGTGGTATTACTGCTCCCAGTGCTCATTCCAAAAAGGCTCAGTTGGATACTATAAAGGAAACATATTAATACAAATTAAATAAAGACATGGAGCAAGACTAGCTTTATGCAGGCTGGAAAGTGTCTAGTGTAGCGGATGGTTAAGTGTTCTGCTCTGAAGGGTTACTTTGTAACATTTAGCAATTATCTACTATATTGATCATACATAAAAATGCAAGGCTAATTCAGAACCCGGTTCACCGTCCGTTTGCTCTCTTGGCTCTGCAGGCTAATGAGATTAAAAAACCCCTAACATTTCAGTTGTAAAATGAGCAGGTGTGGCTCACAAAACACACAAGAAGTAGCTCTCCTGAGTAGGAAAATGCGACTTTACACCCCCCCGTAGTCATTCAGCAGGTAGAACTGCATGTTAGAGTGATCCTCACTTTAATAATGCATAACAGCTTAAGTAATAGCCACCTGTTACACATTTGGTGCAGTAATGTCAAACGATGTGTTAACCATGCAGTTGATAAATGATTCATTCTTTATGTGTTTGTTCTAAGCCAGAGACTAAAATATATTCAAATCAGTAAATCATCTTGGTTTTAGCTCATTTAAATTCAATTATAGTTTTATTTTAAGTACATGTTTTCTTATAGCAAAAGTTTGGATTTCAAAACACTGTCACTTTCTTGGAGAAATGGAAGAGTCACTTTCAAAATTACTATAGAGAGTTTCTGCCATGTTAAGGGGGTCATTTGCAGTGCATCGTGGGTTGTTCTGAAAAGGTTCTTTATCCATCATCCCATGGTGTTGTGCTTCAAGCAGCTCTGGTCAGTGAACACCGTATATCTTACAGTTATAAGTGTTTCTTTGCTTAATAGTAGTTATCTTACAGAGTGACCCAGGACACTCAAAAGCGTTGCTTTGAAAAAGAATGGGTAATTCTCCTGGGCATGTTACATTCCCCCATGGGAAAGCACACACTTGAATATGTTTTTAATTACTGATACTTTATTCTTCATATGCACACCCACACACACGTGCACACACACCAGCAAACATACACACACCCAGTGTGAAATGTCACCTTTATGTAATGTGACCCAGCTGAAGGCAGCAAACACGTCTGCACATCAGGACCTAGTGCATAAAGTGCAACTGGGAACCCCAATCCTGGAATTTATCTTCAGTCTCACGGCAGGCGGCATGCTATTCTTCCCCTGATCCCCAGTAAGCCTGTGATAAATACAGGTCAAACAAATGTATTTTGCTTGCTCTTCCCTCAGCTTCGTGTATCCCCTCTCTCCCCCATGCATTCAAACCGTCTAGTGAATTCTTTAGGCTCTTTGTCCCATTTTGCAGCTTTGCATTGCTCAGTAACCACAAATTCGCATTTACCAGAGGAGAGCACGATACTGTTTACAGGCTTACTCCTAAGAAAAAGTTAAAGAAGTAGCTTTCAAATACCGCAGCGATGCAAAGGACACCGACATCACCCTCTTCTGTTTTACTAACACCCATTACTGCCGGGTAGCTATAAGGGAAATGACACGGCTGCAACCATCGTGTATCTTTGCCCTTGGAGAATTTTATGCAGCTTGACTCTGCTTTGAAGATAGGCTTCCCACTTGGCTTACCAAAGTCAACCAGGATACACATCGCCGCAGTTGAGCTGACTGCTATCCTGCCGATCTCTATGCTGAATTGTGAGAATGAAATCTCATTACCTCATGACAGCCAGCAAAGTATTCGGTAGCATAGAGGCTTTTAAAAGGGTTTCTCTATGCTCGTGCTTGCAATCAGGGCTGAAAAATGTGGTCCTCCATAACCTGACCAGATGGCAGCATACACGCATGTCATTTTTCTATTTTCATTGCTAGAGACTGTGTACCTTATGCTGCTACTAGTTGGGTATAGAAATCGCACAAACAGTAAGATCGATTCCCTTAAATACTGAAAACATTGAAGGGGAAAAAAATCCATACCGTTTGCTTCGGCAGGCCATGTGATCTGCCTGTTTTGTACAAGCTCTGCCTAGCTGCAGAATGTATAAGCCGGGGGTCCTTGCCCTATAACCAGTGCAGCTGGTAGGTATGGGCAGATACGTGCGGAGAAAATGAAGCAAAGTGAAACACCAGTCCCAACTCGCTATTTTCCAAAACATTGGGTGCATAAATTAGATCTGTTCCCAAGCTGGCGGAGTGCACGCAGTCACATGAGGAGGGGGGAACATGCCGTTATTTCTGCGTGCTAGCTTCGCGACTCGGGGCGTTTTGAAATACTTTGCAGCCACCCGACACCTAAACACATACATGCAATTGCACTCGGCAGCTGAGCTCCGCACGAGCAGAATGCAAGGTTAATTCAGTGACCACTGATGTCCTTTTCAGTTGGTTGGCTTGAAAAATTATGCAAATCTTTTCTGGGACACGTACACACACAAAAAAGGATCTTCTGCAACATTTTATGTGCCGTTATATTCTAGCACAAGGAGGTCAGTCCCCGTGGTTCTTGTCAAAGTCAAATTTGATTGGGTTTTTAGTATTAATATGCAAACGGTCACACTCTGTAGTAAGGCTACATTTGTAAGTAGTCTGTCTTTTAATAAATGGCTCATAGAGGTTTTAATAAATTGTCCATTGCTCGCCACAGCTTATTACAGGTCGCTCCTCACTTTGTGTCTCTGCCTCCTTCCCCATTTGTATACCAGGGCTAATCATCTTAAGGAGGTAGTGTGGAGCAGTGGGTAGAGCAGTGAACTGGAACTCAAGAGATGCAAACTTGATTGCCAGCTCTACTACAGGCCTACTGGTTCTCTGCAGACCAGTCAGTTCAACCCTTAAATGCCTCAATTTCTCCACCTGTAAAATGGGGATAATGGTATCGGACCTCCTTTATGACAGGCTTCAAGATCTGCTGATGAAAAACATTCCAGATAAGAGCTAGGTACTATCATAGCCTAAAGCTCTCCATAACACTTACTACTTACATGCCTGTAACCATCTGTAACCCATAGTACTCCAGTCTTCAACATCTTTTAATCATTCATGAGTCCTTTTCAAGCTATTTATAAATGTATCTTTAACATAAAGTGTGGCCAGTCAAATGCTGTGACTCTACCAGGCAATCAGACAGAACTGGTGACGTTGTCCAGAAAGGAAAAAAAAAATCCTGTTAGGAAAAAGATCCTGGGGTAGCTAAATGTGGAAATGGTGCCAAACACCAAGCCACAGTTAGAGCATGTTTAGCTGCTTACTTATGTCACCCTTCTACCCAGTCTGCTATACTGAAGATTTTATAGAAAAGACTGCCACTTGAATTACTAGCATTTATCCAAGTATATATGGGCCAGCATTTATGCTAATAAAACATAACTTGTAGAGTAAGCAGACAGGCAGTCTGACCAGTGGATCTAGGAACTTGTGGGAACTGGACATTTATGCACCAACACATCTGTAGGCAAGATAACGCAATAAAATCTCCAGGGTTGTCTGCTCAACTTTCAGATTTAAGCTAATGGCATCACCTGGCATTTATTAGGTAGCCTCTTCTGGCTCTTTACTTGTTTTCTACAGTTAATGTTACAATAGGGGAAGCGTTCTTTGAATATATATTATTCCAGGACACATTATCTTAAAGCCATGAGCTACTGGCACTCTAGATTTTTATAACTGGAGAGCGGAAAGATACTATTTAAATCAGTCCAAATGTGGGAAATAGATCCAAAGGTGAGCAAGTCAGAACAATGCAGCACAAACTGTCTATTTGGCGAGGACATATCCTTACCAAATGTACAGGCCCCAGTCATGCAATTGAATCCTCCTAGCTTGAACCTTCTGCCACTCTGAAGCACTGAAAGTTTAAGTGCATCAGACTGCTGGATGGGGCATTATTCAGTCTCTGGTATTAAATAGTCACAGGCTCAGTTTTTAGAAAGCCACCTCCTCTTCTGGTCCTGTAATTTTGCAGGCCAAGTAAATAAAGGCACATCTATCTGTTGATAATATTGAAGTCATCTGCAAGTCCGCCTACCTGACTCCAGCCACAAGTCATGTAAAGAGACAGGTCATTGAGATCAGCTGAACCAGCAAAGCTACGGATGCAGGGTAGGATGGCAGGTATTTCCCAAATCAGGCTTTCTGTGTTAAGATAATACACTACCTTATTTTGCCATCAGAAGATGAGTTGTAGCTTTTCCTTGC